TTCCGACGCTGGAGTGGTTCTGTTTTTATCTGTTCCGCTTTCAAGTGTTGCCATTAAAAATAAATGTTTTAACATATTTGTGCCAACGTTTGTCCTGCAACTGAATTTTATGTCCTCATGAAAACCTAAAAGTCGATTTTTTTTTTTATCGGCGAGAATGATAAAATAAATAAATATAGAAATATTATCAATTTTAAATTCATATGGAGGAATAAATGTCAGCACATAAGAACGACATGGTTTAAAAACCACGACGAGAGAGGAGTGAATGACTTTGATTCTGATATCAGGAATGGTGTCCTGAAGTTATAAATGGTTTAAATCTTTTATTAAGAATAGTCACTCCTTTTGGTTTCTTGTTCCACAAAAAATGGGAGATTTTACTACGCTGTGATTATGAGTGTAACTTGCTGCCAGTATCCATTAGAATAAAAAAATAAATAAAATGAAACTTTCTCACACAAAAGTAATCAATATATAAAATAAGCCATATGTACATAAATTACCAAATAGCTACCTCACAAAATATGAATGAACATATCTTAGTATACGATATATATTACCAATTATCTTTTTCTTACAAAACATAAATATAAATATTAATATTACACATATCTCTTCATCAACTTGTTCTGCTGTCTTTTTATATTTGAATAAGTGAACATGTGAATTATACAAGGTATGAATAGACTGCAGAGGAGATACCTGCACACCGATGCAAGTGGGCTGGACAGCCACAAAAAGATTCACAGGCAAAAAAAGACAATTTATTTAGGACATCTGTGCACAAAAAGAAGGTGCTCAAAGTGCAAAAAATATTAATAAAAATAATTTTGTCCTTTTTTGCACTTTGAGCAGCCTTTTTTTTGTCCTTTCTTGGATGTCCATTGTTCCAACACCCCCAAAATAAACTGTTTTGTTGTCCCAAGTAGGCGCAGTCTCCCTAAGACAGAATATGAATATACATAATTCTTCCAGTTTATTGATTTTGTACACCCACATGCTCATCAATCAATAACTGCTTATTTACATATTAATACTTGATGCTGTCCCCATGAAAATTCCACAAATAAATCATATATAAAAAACAATATCTTCACATTGTGGTATTGCTGTTTGGTTCAGTTGCTCTCATGGATTCAACCACTTCTGCTCCTGCTGCACACACAGCTCATTGTCAGTCATGCCCATCGGCGTCTGCAGTGAAAGGCCGCATTAGTGTCAGCAGCTGCAGAGAGAACAGACAGGAGGGAGGAACGCTGTGTGCCAGTGATGCACTGACAGTTCCAGAGCAGCCTTTTTCGCCAGGGGCCACACCTTGATTTAAGGAAGTTTGGATTCTCAGGTGACTCTGCAGTTTGCTTTACGCTACAAAGTTTTCCAATGTGTCACAGTTGAAAGGCTTTTTGGTATAAAAACAGTGTTTGATCCAAAACTTGTACAGAATGTATAACTTTAGTTGAGATATTTCTTGCTTGATGCACACAGCTCACACCGACACCTTTTGTTCATGAAAGTTAAAAAAAAAGGTTTATTCATCCACTTTCCCTCATACAAAATCAGCTTAGTGAAAATAAAATGTTTGGACAGAATGACAAAGACAAAACAAGACAAAATCATCCACACCTAGTCAATAATACGGTCAGAAAACCGTGGCTCCACTCTGCATCTGCAGCTACTAACTGCACTGAAGTGTCAGCAGGCAGCTCTGAATGGACATTAGTGAATTTCTAAGTGTGTCACAGGTGAAGAAAAATACAATAAATATTAACAAAGAAGCAAATATGACTAAACAGAAACATACAGACAATAATACATAATATTCAACCTCAAAACTGTATTTGGCACATACAAATAACCAAACAAAGACATGTTCACATTCAGTAGGATTTCTTCTATAACATCAGTCAATCTCAAATGTTAAATCTCACTTGTGCAGGAGGCTTCATGTAGAACTGTCAAAAACTAAGGAACATGGATTTTAAATACTTGTCAGACTTCAGAGGCCAACCATAGACCCATTTTGTCTTTTTAAACGGGAGATAGGGGATGTTTAGGATGAGACGGCAGGTCAACACTAAATGCCGTATGGAAGTGGTTTACATTATCTGAACGCTGGAACCTGAAGATAAATTTGAAATGGAGCTCAGCACTGTGTGTCGAGTGTTTGTCGCCATAAATATGTAATTTAGATCATGTTTTGGTTCAGTGCCGACTCAAACTTTGAAAGTTTATAGTGTGTAGGGGCTGATAGCGTCATGATGGACGTTCGTGATGGCCATGCCCTCGTGTTCAGCTATGTCTCATCAGTTGTTGCTGCAAGTTTTTGGGTTGATACCATTTGTTACACGGACGTGATGGAGTAGCTCAGTCCCGGGGATGGGAACTGAAGTGTCGCCAGTTTGCCTCTTGGGCACTGAGGCCTGGGGTGCCCTTGAGCAAGGCACTGAGCCCCCAACTGCTAGGGGGCAACCCTGTCTCACTCCAAAGTCGTCAACATCCTGCACTTGGGCAGTGACTTGCAGTCAGACACTGACGAAAAAGCCTTCCTTAAACGTCGGCATGATACACGGCCGGTCGCTGTTATGGTTTAATGGTGCTCGGCGGTGTCATGGGGAAGCGCGGTGGGACATGAACGAAAGTTAAGGTGATGAAAGTCCTAGTGGGGTGGTTGGGAGCGGTGGTGGATGGGTCCAAAAAAAAAAAAAAACAAAAAAAAAAAAAAACGGGGGAGCGGTGTTCGCATCTTACAAGTTTCTAAAGCCAAACCCTGTTCTTTTTTCAACCTAACCACATGCGTTAGTTGGTGAAGGAAAAAAACATCAATTTGTGGCGTTCTACTGACGTAGTGCTTTTATTTTTAAAGAGACTGTATGTAAACTGTACATTTCCTGTGCAACTGGAAGTGTGCTTTGAAAGAAGACAATGCATGTAACAGGCAGAACTTGACACAGTGTCCCAGAACATCAACAACCAACACACCCAGGGTACCTTGCACGTCGTATGTGGACGTGGAAAGTCAGTGACCAAACGTCGATATGTGACGAGGTCTGAGTGAGAATGTGTTGTTGGGGCGCCTGTCCAAGGGCAGCCCCCTCACTCTCACATCTCTCCATTTTGTGCAGATATATGTTCTCGTTGCGCATGTGTGTGTATTTCAGGCCTGTGTGTATACGACAACAGAGTGAAAAGGCTGAATTTCCCCTTGGGGATTACTTAAGTATTTCTTCTTCTCAATGTTATATTTAAGCATTTTTGACCACTTAAGAACCAATAAAAATGGGCAAAAATACATAAATATTAAAACACCAAGAAAAACCCATGCTGTGATTTCGTATCAAAAACTTTCTGGGAGTTTTCTGTAAGAATTTCCTTTTTCAGCAACTGGATAGTGAGCACTTCAGTTCTGGAAACTGCTGGTAAAGCACCTTATTGTTCAAATACTTATGAAAGCCATCCATCCTCTGCCCGAGGTCTCTTGTTTGTAGTTGTATCATGAGGCTGTGATTATCCTGAAAGGTCACAACAGGTCATTTTATACAGTGTGTGAAGGAATTTTGACTATATTGAAACCTCCATTCTGAGTCTGTTAAAGGTCATGTAGGACAGCTAAGCTTAAAGTCATGGTCAGGTCAGTAGCAAGCCTGAAAGGGGCCCCGAGGTCAGGCCTCCCTGTGGTCTCCCAACTCTGACGGGGGGCACATAGCTGCCCAGGTAAGGTAGCGCTGGCTGGCTCCAATGCTGAGGATCAGAGGAGGAGGGGTTGTACCGTGCCCCTGACTCAATGGACTTAATGTCTCTTCCTAGATATGCTCTGTGCCTAACTGGTAGGACAGGCAAGGTGCTGTCAGGGAGCATATTACACCTGCCCTGGCATCAGAGCACTGGCTTCCTCTCCATTTTAGAATTGATTCTAAAATTTTATTCCACACAAAGCACGACCTGGACGAGCACCTGAGTATATCATGGATCTCTTAACACCCTATGAGCCTGAACGTGCCCGAGATCATCTAGTCAGTTACTTTTTGCATTTGCATTTTGTAACTCAGTTACTCACTTTCCTCAGTTCGAATTCTTTAAAGGAGCTATATGTAAGAAATCTAAAGCAAATAGTCGTAAAATCCTCCTAATATGTCACAGAGACTAAGGAATAATGTTCATATAACATACTGATCTCATGGACAACAATACTACAGCCAGAATATTCGCATTTAAAAAAATATTTTTACAGTCCGCAAATCATGTTCATGTTTTGAATTTGTGTTTCGGCCTGTTGCGCCACCCACCGCCGTCTACCAGTCACGCAGTCAGTAGAGTCTCAGCATCAGTTACAGTTATGACTGAGCTACAGCAGCATGGCAAGCAGCATTAGCAGTGTCCCAGTACATAGCATTAGCAGCCGGCTCCTCCTCAGCTGTATCCCGGCAGCAGCGTTAGCAGTGTCCCGGTACATAGCATTAGCAGCTGGCTCCTCCTCAGCTGTATCCCGGCAGCAGCGTTAGCAGCAGAGAAGCCGGACTTGCTCGAATGGTCCGCTGGAAAACCGAAGATCAAGGACGCGGCGACGCGGCCCTGCCACGGCAGCCGCCCATGGGCAAACAAATCAGTCTCCAGCGTGCTGCTGTCCAGCAACCTCGAATCTGTAGGGGGGGGGGGGGGCGGACACGACTCGCGGCAGTATTTTGAATTTGAGTGCAGTAACCGTTTTGGCCACATTCTTACATACAGCACCTTTAACCAGATGCCGAAATATTGGCAGAGGCCTCTTTGTCTCCAAATAAACGGACCCGGTGATTAAAACGGATAAATCACTGAATAAAGCAGCTTCTTGTTAAAAATCTGTGTCTTTCCAACACAGTTCGGCATGTAGGAGACGGGCAGCTTGCCCACCACATGCTATTGTCTGCTAAACTTTATTCTCTGATAACTTAAGATCCAGATGTTCAGGAGGTTTTAATGAGAGCTGAATCATCCACAGAGGTCTCTTCCTCTCCAAAACAAACCGACCCTGTGATTTAAACCGGTAAAAACACTGAATAAAGCAGTTTAATGTTGCAAATCAGTGTTTTACTGACGATGTTTGTTGCAGATGGGCTTCTCACTACGGTGGCTGACGCAAAAGATGCAAATGGCCCTACCTGGAGCCAGTGTTTAGTTTGTCTGTACTGGACTACTGTAGAAACATGGCGGTGCAAAATGGCTGTCTCCATAAACGAGGTTTTGCTCCTTATGTCGATATAAACGTCCCATTCTAAGGTAACGAAAACAAGAACATCCTTATTTTCAGGTGAATATACACTACTTATCTTATTATATTCCATTTTTTCAGTATACCCCCTAAATCCTTGACACTGGACCTTTAAAATTCTTCCATGTCATTTCCAATGACACACCTTCTCACCTGGATGGGTGTGACCACAACTGGAACCTCTGTGTTGCACTGACAGCTTCTCACATACACGCTTTCTCATGTGGCTTTTCAAGTTACTGCTAGATCTGAAATCTCTCCTGCATGTTTCGCACGTATACGGCCTCTCATCCGAGTGAGTTCTCAAGTGGACCCTCAAGTCATCACGACGCCTGAAAGCTTTTCCGCATGTTTTACAGGTATGTGGCTTCTCACCTGTGTGGGTTTTCATGTGCCTCGTCAATGCGGACATCTCACAGAATCTTTTCCCGCAGGTCCTGCAGACGTACGGCTTCTCACCTGTGTGGATTCTCACATGGACTTTCAAGTCACCGTTACGTCTGAAAGCTTTCCCACATGTTTTGCACAAAAACGGCTTCTCACCTGTGTGTTGTCTCATGTGTGCATACAGCTGGGACCTAAACTTGAAAACTCTCTCACATGTGTCACATTTGAAATAATTTCTACCTCTGTGAGTGGTACTGTGGATCTTTGACATGGTACAGTTGTTATCATTGCTCCTGTGAATACTGCTTTCATGATGTCTTTTATTTGGTTGAAGCTCTGTATTTCTAGTTGATCCCGAGTCTTCCTGCTCGCCTCCAACCTGATCTTGGCTCTCAGTGACATGAGAGCTGTAAGAGAGGAGCTGGTGGTCACTGTTTGTTTCTGGTTCACTGTGGTCACTTTCCTCATAAGGAGGAATCAACATGAAACCATCAGTCTCCTGCTTCAGTACAAGCTGCTCTCCCTCCTGACTGCTGCACACTTCCTCCTCTTCCTCTTTAATCAGTGGAGGCTCTGGCTCCTCTTGGTCCACACTGGAGTTCATCTCCTGAATGCGGAGCTGCTGCTCAGCCAGACCCTCCTCCTCCATCTCCTTACAGACATGTTGCTGTGGGAGCTCTGGAGGGACAGAGAACAAAAGGGAAAGGCTACTACTGTGATGGTAAAGAAGGAAATGCAGAAATGGAAGAAAGTTTTAGGCAGAACAAAAGAAAAATGTAAACCATATCAATATTTGGTGTGACCACCTTTTGCCTTCAAAACAGCTTCAATTCTTCTAGGTACACTTGCACACAGTTTTTGAAGGAACTCAGCAGGTAGGTTGTTCCGAACATCTTGGAGAAATAACTACAGATCTTCTGTGGATGTAGGCTGTCTAAAATCCTACTGTCTCCTCATGTGATCCCAGACAGACTCAGGGCTCTGTGGGGGGCGTACCACCACTTCCAGGACTTCTTGTTCTTCTTGACGCTGACAATAGCTCATAATGACACTGGCTGTATGTTTGGGGTCGTTCCTATGCGTTTGTGCACAGTTGAATCACTCTTTTTGGCCACCATTTTTCCATGAAGACCACCTCTGGCCAGACTACTGCAGACAGTAGATGGATGTACCTGGGTCCCACTGGTTTCTGCTAGTTCTGAGTTAATGGCACTGTTGGACATCTTACAGTTTCGCAGAGAAGTAGAATTTCACTGACTGCACTAAGTTTCCTTAGCCGACCACTGCGTCTACTGCCCTCAACGTTGCCTGTTTCTTTGTGCATCTTCAAAAGAGCTTAAACAGCACATCTTGAAACCCCAGTCTAGGGAGAGACCCTGCCGATGCAGTGTAACGACCCTCAGGCTTGTCATGGTGTGTGACCTGTGACATCAAACTGTCTTCCACAACCTCACCTGAGTAGCACAGTTTGGCTGCTCCTCACCCAGTTTTAAACCTAATGCGCAGCTGTTTCTGTTTCACTTCAAGACTGTGTTTCTACCTACATATAATATTGATGATCATTAGTACCTGTTTGTTATAGTTGGTTAATCATACACCTGACTATGATACTACAAACCCCTGACTTTGTGCAAATGTAGGCCTACTTAGAAGAATTGATGCTGTTTTCTTTGGACTAAAACGTTTACACAGTACTGTATGTTTAAACAACCCGAATTATATAAATCAAACTGATCTGTTCTGAGTTATTAAACTGATTAAATTTTACATACCTATCCTGATAAGCTCTATGTCGGGTTTCCAAACGACATCCAACAGTTTGCGCTGACGGTCGATCACGTCCTCGTACTCGACGATGGTTCTTTTAAAAACTCCGAATATTTCTTCAGCAGCAGCAGTTAGTCGCTCGTTGACAAACTCTCTCAGATACTCCACTGAAGACATGGTTATTTAATTATGAGTAAAACAATAATTAACGCGACAACTACACTCTCATCTCCCCGCTAATTCCACTGAGCTAACGCAGCTAACATCTGTTTTGTTTACTTCCGCTCGATGTGTCACAGTGTTTAAGTTCCGGCAGTGGATTTGAGCTACTTTTTCTTTCCGCTCATCAACAGCAAAATTTCCCTTTATCCACGTATTCTCTCTCAAAAAAGTACATGACCAGACAGAATATATA